GGGAAGGCACTTTGATTGTGAACTTTCTCTAAGCTCTTAACATTTGAATGTGAATCACTTCTTACTTTCCCTTTTAGAGAAAGTTGTTTGTGTAAATAGATAATGAAATAACAAGCACTCCAGGTTTTTTTGCACTCTACTTGAAAATACACTCTTTAGATTTCATTAGAACTTAGAGCAAGGATAGCTCATGGGGTTGGGCATAGTGCTTTTGGTTCAAATGGGCTAAATGGGAAGCAAGTTCAATGCCTGTAGTCTGCTTTACCAGAGAAGGCACTGAGTTCAATTATTAGAGCTAATGATTTGCATGCATGAAGTCTTGCATTCAGTTCCTTTGGCATTTCCACTGGAAACAAACTCAGCCTACAGAGCTGGGAAAGTTCCCTGTCTCGGTGCTGATGAAGCCATGGTGCTATTCCTGAAAAATCTGATGTGAGACAGTACTGGCTTTAAGGAAAAAAAAACCACAAACAGTGGCTGGAGACATGCTATTTACATGCTCAGTTCAATATGTGATGCTATTGATCATGCACAGCAGAAGTTATATGACTTCCCTTAGTTATGTGCAGTAACCAGGTCTCAGATTGCATTATGATATGTTTCAAATGAATGTTCATTTGCATTTCACTTATTATAGAAGCTAGTTTATGGAGAATTGCTCCTGTGAAAACTCAGCATAAACTCAACAATAACATTAGCTCAAATGGCCAGTCTGGATCACAAGAGACTATATCCTCAAGCAAGGAATTGCCACCTTCTTTATTTGGGAAAGTTTTATCTTCCAGACAGAACTCTCAGTGGTCTAAAATGGGACTTTGCCACATTAACTGATCCTATCATGATTCTCTAGAAGTCACAATTGTCAGTACCACCTATTGTTTGGTAATCTGCTCTAAATAAATGCACTAAGAAAGGGAGCATTCTAATCCACCTCCTTTTCTTCCCAACACTCTGAAGAGAAAAATCTTTCTACATTTGGAGGGCCTCCACACATAATGAAGGTGCCCCATGTGGAGAATGGCCTTCCAAAAAGGGGTGCTTTCACTATATATGGAGGCTCACTGCATATATAAAGATTCTCCTCTTCCCTCCTGTTTACTCAAAGTAGATTACAGACCATCTGACTAGGTCACCAGAACTAACATTTTCAAAGTTACTAAGCAGTTACACTTTGAAATGAGCAGTTTCTTGTTCAGAAAAATGGCAGAAATGAGCAGGAAAATTATCATAAAATTTTTTAAGTGACTTCTTTTTCTTTATTAGCTGAGGCCATGGACAACTATTTTCAACAATTTAGTTGAATTTTTCCAGGTCCACCTGTAGGGCCAGTTGAATAAGAGATTGGCTTTCACTGGGTTAGTAATCTCTTTTGACTTGATCATTCTTTCCAAATTAGCATATAATTTGATGCCTTGTGGGATGACTTGGGAGTTTGAAAGCTGAATTTGGAAATAACTAGTTGCTGTTTTTATCTTTATTTGCAAGCCATGGTGCCATTTCTGTTGTAAATGAACATAATGCCTTGCCATTCTTTTGTCTCCCTCTCTCTTATAAGGAGTCCCTATGAAATACTCACTATTTTGGTGCAGGTGTTACCTTTTAGTAAAAACCTCATACATCCTCTTCACTTCACTTCACTTATATGAGGTGGCCAGGGAGGCAGATTTAATCTATTTTTTTTCCTTTCTAAACAAATGTCATGAACCACAGATCCTCTTTTTTTTTCCCTTCTCAGCTCCATTTCCTCCATCAGGACAGCAAAGTGAGGATTCCAAAAATGTGACAGCATCATTTCTAGGAGGACTGGCTAAACATTGCACTGAGCCAATCTTCCAGGGAATTGTTGCTGCTGACACTCTTCTGAATCATCCTGTGTCCTGTTCCATCCTTGCATTACAGTCCTTATAGTGTATGATATTAAACTGTGAAGGGGGAAAGCACAATCTTGTGGTGTAGGAGCCTTCTCCAGATGTTGTTTAGCTGACACTCCCAGCAGTCCTAGGTAGCAAAACCAACAGTGAGAAATGCTGGGAAATACAACCCAACAACAGCTGGAAGATTGCATGGTTCCCACCTCTGATTTAAGTTAAAATAATAGATAAGCCCCACCACACAAACAGATTAGTCAGAGCTGCCAGGATGCATATAATGTAATGAACTGTGAGTTGCAGTCCCCAAAAACAAGTACAGTTGGCCCTTTGTATCTGCAGAGGATCCTTTCTGGACCCCTCCATGGATAAGAAAGAAAGACCTCAAGTCCCGTTGTCTCCAATGGCGGCACGACATGTGCACAGCCAATAGTGCAGCTGTGTGCACTTGCCATCAGTGAGAACAACGAGATTTGCCATCCGTGGATGCTCAGATCCAAGGATGACAAGCCCGTGGATGGCAAAAGCCCATTGTAATAGGGTGGACTATTTTGCGAGAGCCCTGGTGCAAAGCCTGAGGTTGACGTATATCAGCAACCCTGAGAGAGCTGCGCATAGCATCATAGAATCACATAATTGGAAGAGACCACAAGGGCCATCCAGTGCAACCCCCTGCCATACAGGAACACACAATCATGTGGACTACATGCCCAGAAGACCAATAAGGTGGCCGTACTGTAAGCTCAACCCACACTGCAGTCTCTACTTGGTCAAGCTGTCATTAGCTGAATTTATCAGTAAAACACTCTGTTTCACTGAAATGGGGAGAATGATGAACACAAGGGATAAGACATCCTTTTGTGGGATGTAACATTTATAGCAGGGTTCTCTATTTGGCCAGTATACTGTGAGACCGGGGCAAGGCATCATGTGTTTACTTCTTTTGGATGTATATATTGAAATACCCTCAGCCTTACTGAAATTCCATCCTTGCTTCCTGCACCCACCGTAATGTATGTGTTTTTCCCCAGTTTCAAAAACTAGTCTTTAATGGTCATTTTAGACCAGTTTGAATGTAAGATTATATAACCCTAACCTATCCCTTCTGTCAAGATTGGACATAGACCCTCTAGCACAGGGGTGAGTAACTGTGGAAGTTGGCTGGGGGCACATTAGTCCCCAGGAGACCTTGGTGTCTTCTCCCACTGCATTCCCCCAAATGCACAAAAATAAAAAAGTATAGCCTATCCTCTGGTGGACATGGAGGCATTTTTGCTATGTAGTTTAGGCCATCCTATTTTTTTTTTTAATCATTTTAGTCCCTGGTGAGGCCTTAACAACAGGAAATGAGTTGAGGTTTT